CTCTCTCTCTCTCTCTCTCTCTCTCTCTCTCTCTCTCTCTCTCTCTCTCTATCTATCTATCTATCTATCTATCTATCTATCTATCTATCGATCTATCTATCTATCTATCTATCTATCTGTCTGTCCGCGTGCTATCGATGGATTGATAGCACGTTAATTAGGCGACCTGGCTAACCGAGGGCGACCTCGCCCTCGGAACGCGCATAGACGCGACCCTATCGTCACCCGAAGCAGATCGGCTAACCAACGAGCAACCAATATGGCTGCCAATGTGCAAAACCCGATCCCGCAACAGAATGTTAATCCACCGAATCAACCCGCCCCACGTGCACGGGCTCCCATGACGCCACCTGATCTCTATCTGTTTGATCCAGCACACCATCTCGCAGGAGCATGGCTGGCCACACTTAGAGCCCAACAGTATACTGACAATGAAGCGCAGATCAACATTCCCACCCGATTGGGGGGAGACGCTCATCATTGGTTTAGCACCTACGTGTGGGTTGACCTCCCGACCTTCGAGCGAAATTTTATGAACCAATTTGATTATGTTCACCCCGAACAAGCGCTGTACATGATCAAGGACCGAGTGCAAAAACCTCTCGAGTCCGTTGTGGAATATCGAAACCGGTTCTACCGAATGTTCATAAAAACTGAGCGAGGTGAACAAGTAGGGAGAGATCTATTCATTGACGGACTTCGCAGCCGAACGATAAGGGCTAAGCTGCGGAAGCAATTTTCCCCCATCACTCACACGCTGCAACAAATCATGGCTGCTGCGGAAGAAATGGAACGGAAGTTCGCAGCGAACTTCCTGGAGGGAGAAGATTACCCTAGAGAAGGAGATTCGACCGAACTCGCACGAGTGAGAGCTGAGTTGGCCGCCTTGCAGAACAAGTTTGAGAACATGGGGTTTGTATCAGGACCCGTCACCTATATGGAACAGATAGGCCCCAAGCGAGTGATCCTAAGTGAGGTTCCGAGCGCTTCCGCTCTTGTGATGCCTCCACCCGTAAGGGCGTTACCCCCGCCACTAGTTGAGGCTCCCGTACGAACGAATGAATCAGCAGTCATTTTTGAACTAACCAAAACCTTGATTAGTTTGATCCAAGAAAGCAAAAAGGAGCAGCGAGAGCACAATGCTCGGCTGGAAGCCATGATGAGGAACATGCGGCCCATTGCGGTATGCGCCCCTCCGATGCAGCAGGGATTAGCCCCGGCACCTGCGCTAGGAGGAGTCGCAAATAATCTAAATGTCTGTTATGCCTGTCATCAGCCAGGGCATTTGGCCCGAGATTGTCCCCACCGACCCCCGCAACAGCGGATCGGGGTCGCACCCATGGCTGCGGCCCACATCGCTAACGGGCCTGGACGAGTCGGAGCTTTGATGGAAGAAGTAGAAGGTGGGGGAAGTACCCTGGCCACCACGGAAGAGGCCACCGAGCAAATCCCTCTAGATCAGTACGTATCGCTCGGATATCCTGGGCTTGGAATGATCGGAACAATCAGACCAGCGCCAGAACCGAAAGAGGTGGCGGAGTGGCGACCGTCTCTAGGAGAAATGGAGTCGGGAGGACCCACCTTTGTCACAGGAGAAATCGATGTGTTAAACATCATCCGAGCCTTGGACCATCGGATTCCACTTCCGATCGGTCATCTACTCTCGATCTCCGAGCAAGCCAATGAGCGAATGCTACCGCATTGCAAGGCAAACCGAAAGTGATTCGCCCTCGCCCGAACACCGAACGTAAAAGCCAAAAGGCCCACGCCCAAAGAAAACCCAACAGGCACTTCGGATCCGATACGGGTAGGTTTAATTTAGAAAGACGATCATTTCTTACGGATGAAACCAATTCCGTGGAAATCCGTAGAATGCGATATTGAAATTTGGGGAATTCCCTACAACGCAATTATAGATTCGGGAGCAGCTGTGTTGGCTATTTCACTAAGAGTGGTCGAAAGGGCAGGTAGGAAAAACGATCTGATCATGCTCACTGAGAAAGATCAGCTCGTCTCGGCAGATGAAGAAAAGATCAAAACTGTGGGAAGAATGACCAATGTCGCTTTCCGATTGGAAAAAGTACATGCACTTGGGATGTCGTAGTACTAGATGTTAATACGTACGACGTTTTCTTCGGACTTCCCGCTCTTGTGGCGTTACGGGCGAGCCTGGATTTCGAGCGATGATCGATTGTCCTCCGAAATACAGGAGGAAAACCCTACGTTGTTCCCATGCGATTGACCCTTCGCACTACTATTAACGCGGTCCCACGGGTTTCGCCGATGATGGCAGGGACTCTCCGCATGATATCCTGGGAGGAATCCGCAGATGGAAAGTCATCAAACAATGATACGGAAAGCAGTGACGAAGATGATCCAGACATCTTGAAATTGGTACGACAACGCGTCTATTACCCGCCGCCCAAAACGATGGCGAGAACGATGCAACTTACCAGCCGAAAAATTCAAAGAACGAAGGCGATGATCCTGGGTGAGCCCCTCGTGCAGATTTCGAGGATGGTCGACTCTTTGGAACCCCCTCAAACTCTGTACGAAGGAATCGCCCCTCTCCTCGCCAGGTATAGCTACAAAAAGCATTATTGCGACATTACGGAATAACCTCAGTCTCTATTGACTTCTGCTAAAGAAGTAAGATTGTTACGATTAGGGGCGGAAGCAAACTCTCTGGAACCCCCTGGGCGTTTTGAAGCAGAAACAGACGGACTAGGGATAAAGATCGCAACTAAGGACGTGCCATGGCAGGATGTTTGTGACGGGATTACCCCGGAAGGACACGTGGCACTTTAGGAAGAAGATGCCAGATGATGGCCACGGTGTTCTCCTGGCGATCGGACCATTCGTTCATCATGGCGCCTCCGCCCGATGTGGTAAAACAGACGCGCACGAAACAACTTGACGTTCGGATCGGGGATCAACTTTTTGAACTGCACGTTCTACAGTACGTACCAGATGAAATCCACCGAATGATTGCGAACATTCTAACGAAATACCAAGGAGCGATTAGTGTGACAGATACTGACATTGGTTTATTGTTAGTAATCCAACATGAAATTAAGACAGAAAATCACTCCCCGATTCATTGCAAACCTTACCGGTATTCCTTGATTGAACGCAAAAAGGCTCTCGAACGAATTCGGGAGTTCGAAGCCAGCGGGTGGATTGAACCCGCCACCGGACCTTGGTCATTTCCGGTAGTGTTAGTACCAAAGAAAAACGGAGTGATTCGCATTTGCATTGATTATCACAAGCTGAATGAAATCACGATCAAAGATGTGTATCCCCTCCCCCGGATTGATGATTTATTGGATGCGATTGGATGCGCTAATTATTTCAGCAAGTTTGATATTCGGCATGACTTCCATCATATTCTGGTAAGGGAGGAAGATCGGTCGAAGACGGCCTTGTACTGTTTGAGGGCACATGGCAGTGGGTTCGGTGTCCGATGGGGATTTGCAATGCGCCTGCCACGTTTCAGCGAGCGATGAACATGACGTTCCAGAATTTCGTCAACAAGACACGGCTGGCGCAAGGGATGATTAACTTCTGCGTGATCGTGTACATGGACGATATCCTGGTCTATTCGAAAACCTATCACGGGCACGCGCAACATATCGAATGGACATTGGGCGCGTTGAGAGACGCGGGGTTCAAACTTGCGCTCGAGAAAAGCGAATTTTTCCTTTCGGAAATTTCGTTCTTGGGCTACGTCGTGACACGTGGAGGATTGCGGCCGGACTCGAGAAAAGTTGCGGCGGTGAAACAAGCCCCAGTTCCCACGTCACTGACGCAGGTTCGAGCCTTCTTGGGGTCGGCGTCGTACTACCGGCGCTTCATCAAGGGCTTTGCCGCGATTGCGAGGCCACTAACGAATCTGCTAAGGAAGGACCAGCCTCTCAGTTGGGACGCGGAGTGTCAACAGGCTTTTGCAACCCTCAAGGACGCTCTGGCGACGGCCCCTATTTTGATTCAGTCGGACCCCTCGAAGCAGTTCATTCTCATCACGGACTGGCAACCCGAAGCTATTTCCGTTATTCTAGCGCAGAAGGGGAACGATGGGCGCGAACACGTCATCGAGTACGCGTCACGTGCCAGACGAACGCCGGAACGACTCCGCGCCTCAAGGCGAGTGTTATGCGGTGGTTTGGGGAATCCAACACTTCCATCCGTATCTCTACGGACAGAAGTTTCGCCTCGTGAGAGATCACGAACCCTTGCTGGCGCTGAAGAAACTCACCAACTACACGGGTATGATTGGCCGTTGGGCGGTGGGACTGCAAGAATACGACTTCGATATCGTCCATCGAAAGACAGAGCGACACGGCAATGCAGACGGGCTGACACGTCTGCATCCACTTGCCAAGGTACCAAAGGGCGAGGAAATTTCGTTGTGGAAAGAGCCGGACTTGACCAACGAGCCGAAATACGGACAAGTGGCAATTCTTCCACGTGGCAAGAAGTAAAACGGTCGCGATGGGTGATGGAGGTAATCCCATTATCTCTCTCTCTCCCCCTTCCTCTTCGTCTCTCATATCCCAGCCTGACAAATTTTGCTATTTTTGCGAAGCCATCTCCCGCGTATACGCGGTCTCCATGCGTCCTAACCGGGAAGGGTATGCGGATTGGATAGATTGCCGACAGTGCGTTGCACGAGCCCATGGCTCGTGCATCCAATACAGAAACGACAGTAAACCGTGGTTGTGGCCCTTGTGCCGGACCGACAAGATTCCGACCGAGGCCCGCTTTTTGGATGCCACGTCAGAAGGATTGGAAAAGACCCGGAAGTTTAGAAGGGCCGAAGTATGGACTAATATTGCCTTAATTGCCACCCTAGTAGGTAACCCCCTCCAGGATTTCAATAAGGAAGATCGGAGGAGGGCCAACGAAAGGGCTCGGGATTACCGGTGGATAGAAGGTAGATTAGATAAACAGAAAACGGACGGCAGTGGGAGTTGGATGGTGGTACCGCATCCGTTCATGTGGTATGACTGGGTTAGACACCCCACGAGGAAACTGCGGCCCATTTCGCCGTACGAATCACGGAGTCCACTATCGACAAAAAATGAGTGGTACTGGTCCAATATCCGCAACGATGTGAAATACATCGTCGCCAACTGTCAAGTCTGCGCCGCTGACAAAGTGCCGATTCAGCCACCAAGATCGATAGTGCCCACGATTGTTGAACGACCATTTCAAAGAGTGAGCATGGACACTACCGACATAGTGGTGCCCTCTGGCCCTAATAGTTGCGAATATTCAGTCCTATTGGTATTTGTCGACCATTTCTCAAAATGGATTGAGGCGTATCCTTGTCGCACACGGCAAGCCACGAAAATCGTGCGATATGTCAACCGTTTCCTCGGGATGCATCAGGATACGGAAGAGATCCTGACCGACAACGGGGCTGAATTCAGAGGAGAAGTGTTAAGGAGTCTGGTCATACATGGCGTCGCCATACGGAATACTGCACCCCACATGTCACAATCCAATGGGCTGGTCGAAAACGCTAACCAAGTGATAAAGACAGCCTTACGACGAAACATTATGGCACGGGATCCGAGGCCCTGGCCCGATATCGTCGATCACATCCTGGCGGTCCATCGCGGAACGCCCCACGAATCGACGGGGCTAAGCCCCTTCCAATTAAGGACCAATAGTGTCGCTTGCGTTTCGATACCAAAACTCCCGGACGAGTCTACATTGAACCGACGGCGCACCAGGGCCACGGCTCGGGATAAGGCCAAACGGCACCTAGAGTTAATGGAACGGTCACTGCCCAGGCTAGCTCGAAAACGACAGAAAATGACCGAACTAGCCCAAGGCCGACAGGTCCGGAGCTACGAGGCCCGGAATGGGAATGCGGGTCCGCGGCCCCAGTACAAATTGGGGGACGTGGTGCAGGTAAGGAAATGTGCTCGCCAGGGTAAGCTAGCGCCACGATTCTTCGGGCGATATCGCGTGATCGAGCTCGGGCCTAACGGCGTGGACACCGTGTGTCTTGCCCCCGAGGTCTTGGGCAGTCGATCGGCTCGTCCGATCACACGTCATGTGTCCTATCTTCGCCTCCTCCCCTCTTCTCCGTCTTCTTCCCCCTCTTTTTCTCTCTCTGAGGAAGCCGACGACGACGGCTCTGCCTCTCCGACATCTCCCTCTTCTTTTTGCTCCCTCTCTGCCTCCCCGTCACCATCGCCATCGCCATGAGTTTTTTGGAAGAGAAAGCCCTCGGCGAAGCAGCGTTTGCGCCCCGCGATCGACTGACGATCCGGCAGGTTTATCATCCATGCCTCAGTCCAGACCTTCGGCGGCTTGCGCACTTCTTCTGCACGGAAGGCGTGTACGCAGCGGCGGTGTTCAGAATCGAAGGCCGGCCTGACGCGGTGGTACTGGTTGAAGCAGTAGCAGTCCATTAGCGAGCGGTGCCAGGTGTCAGCAGCATATCGGTCGTTATCAACTTCCAGGGCGATCTCTCCACGCTCCTTCCCTTACGGCCTTTAGCGGTGAAGGCATCGCTGCGCGCATGGGCAAACGATCTGGTCGCCGAGTGGACCCAGCTTCTGGCTCGTCCTGGGGATACGGTCGCAACGTCACGAGCGATCGAATACGACGGCCTTCGGATGTACCAGCGCGATCCACCGACAGATCTCCCTATCCTCGTTCCCTTTCCCCATCCCCAATGAGTCTCTCACCAATCTCCGTTTTTGACCTCCCCTCCACCTTCCCCACCTTCTGGCAGTCCGACACCCATCCTCGCCTTTCCTATTGTCTAAAGCCCCTTGTTGTCCCCCTTCTTCATCCTCCTCATTGGGTCCTGTGGCGCGAAAACTTCATCGAGCTTTCACTGTGCTTGGTTGAGGTACGGCTGACGTGGACCGGGGACGAAGCGCACCCGCCTTGCATAGAGCGCCTGGAGTTGTTGTTTATCCAAGCCTGGCGCACCAACGTGGAGGGAGAGTTTCTCACGTTTTTATTCAGTACGGTGCGGCCCGGTCATCAGGAACTTATCACGCAAGAGCTCACGATCCCGGTAGCGCAGCTGGCGGATGATCTCCCTCTTGACATCATCTCGCAGGACGACGAGCATCCAGTTCCCCATGTGCTTTCTCGCACCCTGACACCTTATCTTCAGTGGTCGGCTTGCGTGGAGGGAGCCGCAGAGCGTATCCCGCCGTCGCAGCAACAATATTTGGATCCCCAGACAGCTCGCGATCCTGGCTTCCTCAGGCACCCTACGGCGGAGCAGTTTGCTGCCATTCGAGAAGAAGAGGAGGAAGAAGAGAGCACCGGGAGTGACGAAGATGAAGACGGGCTAGAAGAAGGCGGGGATAGCGGCGAAGTGCTCGGAGAAGAAGACGAAACCCCCGAAGAAGGAAGCTATGGCGAGCATAGCGAGGAAGAACCGAGCGAAGAAGAAGAAGAAGACGAGGAAGAAGAGGGGCACGAAGAAGAATCTGCTGGATCGGAGTGGGAAGCCGTGCCGGAAGAAGCACTGCGTACGGGTACAGAGGCTGAGGATCCCGAGGCGGCCCGCCAAAGGGAAGAGATTGCGGCCAGGAAGAAGGAATTAGAGCTCGCAAGCGCGGTGAGTCTGCAGATCCACGACGAGTCGAACCGAGACCCGGAGCCACCCTGACCTGAAGATGGCGACCTGGCGGCCACGACTTCGGCCCCATCAGCACAGCGACGGAAGCGATCCCCCTCCTCCCCGACCCGTCCCCCAGTTCACCGACGTACCGATATGGGCGATCGGCCTTCGTCCCCGATCACTCTCTCACCATCCCCTTGACTACCTCACCCTCCGCCAGCTTACCACCCCCGTCACGTTCCCCTCCAATCCGTTCCCCCGCAACACCTTCCGTCACTTCTACGTCGCTCGCCTCGCTGTAGTAGTGCATCCCCATCCCTCCCTCCGATGCGCCGTCCCTGCCTTTTGCCTCCATGTCTTTCTCCTCAGTGCCGCGTGGCGAGGCCACAATATGATTGAGGTTTATTGCGTAATAACAGGGACCATCCCCGCATGTGCAGATCGCGATCGTTTCCGCGCGGCGCTCTTCCGAACTTTTACCACCCTCTACCCCGATTATCTCACGTCCCTCCCTTGCACTGGTAACCGATTCCCCCGCTTTCATCGCATTGTTCATTATCAAGAGCTCTCGGAGACCATAGTCGGAATGGAAAGTCTCCTGCCCCCGCTACCCATAAACCCTCCACCCCGCCATGCCGCCATGTACCAACTTCCTTTCCCCCTCCCGGTTAATTACTGATGCAGCAGGTAATGGAAGCGTGTCGAGGCGACGACACGAAAAAGGCCCCGTCCTTGGATCGTCGAGAGCCCAATCTAAGGAACTAATAGGAGAGCAGTGTTGCCACGTTGGATGACGTCCACATGCAATTGAACGGTAAGCGGCATAGACAGAAATGCTCCTCGTGTTGATCAATTAGAGAAATCGACACGTTGTGAGGAAACCCGGGGAGGGGCGCCTACCGTTCGCTGAAGCCAAGGGCTACGACGCCTGTCACTCGCCGCGCCCGTCCCGAGGTCCTCAGCGACCGGCAGGCATCGAAGTCGGGGGTGCCCTGTCACGCTCCCTATTTTCTCTTTCTTCCTTTTTGTAATTTAGCAGCTTCGATCACCAAGGAGTTCCAACAGTCAATTGGTATCACAGGTCAGTACGTTTAAGTGATTATTTAACAATTCAACCGATTCACGCACTAGGGGTCTTCAACAATCATCAGCCACCCCACGCAATGGTGAGTTTTTAGTAGTCATCCGGGAACACCTACTAGGCCACCACAGCAAGTTTCTTTCTCTTTCTCTCCCTTTCGTTGTTCTTGCTCCCTTACTCACGCTGTTCTCGCTCTCTTAGCCTCGCTGCTCTCTCTCTCCCACTCTCGCTGCTCTCTCTCTCTCACTCTCGCTGCTCTCTCTCTCTCACTCTCGTTGCTCTCTCTCTCTCACTCTCGCTGCTCTCTCTCTCCCACTCTCGCTGCTCTCTCTCTCTCACTCTCGCTGCTCTCTCTCTCTCACTCTCGCTGCTCTCTCTCTCTCACTCTCGCTGCTCTCTCTCTCTCAC